TATCTAAGTTCAAATACAATTACTTAGATATCGGGTTTTAAGCTGGATTTTAATAAGAAACGTGTATATTATTACTTACCTCTTGTTTACTTAGAGGATAAAAAGAATCAATCTATTTGCATTATAAGCGAAAATATAAATATATCAAAATAGTATTTTCAGACTTTAATTACTGTACTCCTGTATACAATCTTTTTATTGTTCTTAAAAATAAATGTAAGTAAAATTATTATATATTTTTGCAAAATATGAATGTAAAACAACCACTGTTATTAGTTCTCATTGACAAAGAATATACTGTTTCCAGTTTTATCAAAGCTACAACTATATCATTGTATTATGAATGCTCCTGTAATAATAAAAATGAGTGAGTAATAGTAATATAATGAACCGATTATGAAATACAGATATACGGGTATGACTCAGTCTTATCATTATAAAATAATTAATAATATAAAGAAGCAAACAATTTAGTACAATCAATTGATTGTGTAACTGATTTACATAATATGAGTAATTCACAATCAAGTGGAGAGTCTACATGTAAATTGTTTTAATACAGGAAATTTAAATATTTTACATTGTACGTAATGATAAACTAAGATCAATATAAGAGTCAATATATCCAAAATGTAACCTCGATCATACGACAAAATTATACGAACAAATATAACTACGCCTAACCCCAATCACCGCTCCGAACATCTCCTTATTTGACTTACAATAATTTAGTTAGTTCCAAGTTCGACTGTGTTCCCATGCTCCCATTACCCGTCCGTAACAACAGACCGATGCATTGGAATTGGCCAGAAAATCACGATAAGTATCTCTCCGTTGTCACGATCCAATTCAGACCGGAGCGCTCCTGGTCGAGATTTGAGTGAGAGGACGTGACCTTTGGTCCAACTTGAGCCAACTTCAAGTGTGAACCGTCATATTTGACCAGCGGGTGGCGTAAGTTGACCGAAGAACAAATTTCGTTAAGTACTTTGTACAACAGAAAAATGTCCGAATGCTTTCGGATATCAGCCGTCGATCAAACGCCGGGCCACATACAAATCTATCTGATTTGATTTGACCCTGAGAGTTGAGATTAGTCATTGCTTTTGTTATGTGATGTTTGTGGAGATGTAAAAAATGTGTGAGCGTAAATAAAAAGTTGAGCATTGCCCGCGGTGGACGTCTGTTTTGATTGATTGAAGGAAAATACAAAAAGAATCCATTAGTCATTGGACAAATCATTGAATAAATACCATAAAATTTTGATGTGTTTCTGAGCTTATAATTTTGTTTTGCAAAATGCAATGTAGTAGTGATTCAACAAGAAAATAATTTATTAAATTCCTAATTTCAAATTAATGTTAGTAACATTGAGTGAGTGAAACAACAGAATTAAAATATTTTTTACATATTATGAGTACAAAATAAATGAAACTAATAGATTTCATAACTAAACATTATAAGTTTATTTTTTGTATCAAAATTTTGGATAGAATATCATTGTACTTATTATTCATTAATAAATAATTATTTAATGAAGGACTTAATTACGAATATTAACTATCAGTAAAGACATTGCATTTGGACAAAATTATGTTTACAAGTAGCGTATATTACCTTACGTCGTAGTAAGTTACCCTTTATAATATCCTAATATAAAATATAAGAGGCAGTAATAAAAGGACTGTTGGTTTGATATCTGGTCAATTTCTTATCTAGTCGGGGACATGTCAGAGATAGTTGGGGGAGTCAATGGTGCATTTAACCGTGAAATCCGAGATATGTACGATATCCTCTGATATTGATAGCAGGTATCTTTAAACCGGGAATGGTTTTGGGAATCTATTGAAGATAAGTTTGGGATGAAGTGGTCTGCTTTTGACGTATTGATTTTGGAAGCTTGTGTTTATATTTATAGCTTAGGTGTGTGAGTAGTATTTAGTACAGTTGTAATTAGTATTATAAGAGTATAATTTGAGATCTTATTACAGATGTAGCTTTTTCGTGGTAATTTTTCATATAAAAGGTAAACGAGTATGCGGGTCACCTGATGGTAAGTGACTACCGCCACCAATGATCACCCATAACACTTTATATGGAAAGTTGAATTATCTGATAAGAATTGATAATTAAGAAAAAATATTGTAATGTAAAACATACCTGCGATTAGGTAAGCTTAAAGTTCTGTACATAGATTAATATTGACTCAATATCAAAATATAATAGTATAAGATTTTGGAATAATATGGTTTAGACCGAGAATGAAGGGTGAATTTAGGTAATTTCATCATCGTCATTTCAATGTATATTCTATAGTAGTAAATAGATTTGTTTGCTATATATCTAAGGGGGTATAAATATGTTATAGAGGCCGACGAATTAGAAAATAGAAACTGTACAAATTTATAAGCATATTTATAATTAATCTGTCATAATTCCAAATTAATTGATCAAACGAGCTGTACTTATATGTGTTGAAATTTATCAAACCATATAATTCGTATTTAACAATTAGATACTTGCCAGAATTGGTTTCAACATCAGCCGACCATTAGTAGCTTTCACTCCATTAATCTCTCGGTGGTCGACCAGTTGCGGTTTGTCAGATATGTCTACGTTTAATATTCAAATATTTAATATCAATATTCGTGAGTAATGTATTCTGAGCATAATCTCCACTGGCGTTAAGCGATTGTGTCTGCTAGTTTCCTCACAGAGCGATATAATATAGTTTATATTCAAAGATACCTTAGCTCAGTTTGCATAAATAAATATACTCACGAGTGTCTTTCCAAATGGAGTAGACAGAGATAAGTATTTAAGTTGTACAGATAACCATGTGTGAATAGTGTAACGGAGTTAACCAATCATATATGTATTATTTTTATACGAGACTTTTAAAACCACTTTGTTTTTAATGAGGGATGATGAAATAGTATTCACACCTGCGTTATCGGTAAAGCTGTAAACTCTAAAACTGAATTGGTCACGGTGGAACTGTACGTTAATACAGTATTGTGATGAATTCATGACGATTTCAATAATTAACCACGATGGTTTCCAGAGGGAGTTCCATAGAGGTCAACTTATTAGGGAATATTGCTAGCAATGTGGCCGTTAGACTCTATTACTAATAATCCCTCTACCTTTCAAACCATTACGAATCGCCGAATTCGCATTACAATATAAAACACTATGCTCTTATTCTTTAGTAGTTTAGTATATTAGTGATTGGAATTGCATATAATATGAAATGTGTAGTTCAGAAAATACCAAGGGAAATGTGTTCAGATTTATGAATATTATCATTGAATTTTAGCTTATTTTCTTAGTATTTATACCCCTATCTAATAATCCCCACCCCACACTATAAAATTTTTACATATTTCATTTCATTACTTATATCCAAACAGCAGATAAGTAGTCTACCTGCTATTTCATAATAGTAAGTAGGTATAAGATTTTTTTGTTGATATAGATATTCTCGTGTATTAATAACAATACAGTCCACGTTTAATGCTAATGTTTTTTTTATGTATAAACACTATGACATAGTAAAGAGGTAAGTATATCTTACCTTAGAACTCTATTAACGTTAATATAGGTTAAGGTATAACGAATAAGGATTGTAATTGTAGCCTAGTATTATTGCTATAACTTAGAATAGCATTTCATTTCGGTCTTTCATTTTTCATTTCATTTTTATGTAATTTGAAATGGTAAACAAGCTGACGGTCCATGTAATAGAAAATGTTAACCGTTGCCCATAAAATTAATTTCAAAGAATGTATAATATATCGATAATTATACATTCATGTGTTGCCATTTTTGAGGACTAAAATGTTATATTAAATTTTTTTGTATTTCTTAGTCGCCTCTTACAACATTCTGAAGATGAAATGAACTAATAACACGTATTTATACTGTATCACTACAAAATTAGTTATAAGCAAATGAATCAACTAATAATTATGTAATAAATAATTAAGTAAGACCTGACAACCACAATATTGATGTTGTGAAACGCAAAAGTATAAAAAATATTAACCTGTCCTTATTAGTTTTAATTAATAACTGGTAAAACCTATTTACCTTTAATAAAGAAACAATGCCAGTTGCTTGTAACAGACGTTGGGTTCCATCGGAAAAAATGACCAGCCAACCAGCGCCGTGTGGTCATTCAACGCACACTACACCATATGTTAAAATTACACTCGCTTATTAAAAAAAAATACAAAAACATAAGTATTTAGTTCCATCAGTCATGTTCGTTGGAAAGTCACGTAAATTCACATCTAACTAGAGATGAATATAGTATTGTAAAGTATTTATTTGAGCTACCATATTGTATTCATGGCGGTTGAAATATGACTTGAATTTCTACCTGAGAAGGGACCATCATTATGGATCCAAATGATTGTCGGCAGGCCGAAATTATTTCTAAAGTTTTTTTTTTGTGTACGAGTTTCTTATTTTTCAATACGTATCGAAACAACGAGTTTAACAGTTATGCCGACATTTGGTTTCCACATAAACTATATTTTTTGCTAACCATCGCATTTAAACAAAGGTTCGAACTAAACCAAAATGATATATGCCCTAATATCATTGAATTTTTTTATGTAACTTGTAAATAGTTAACTAAAAATAATAATATAATATTATAATGTATATTTTTATAGTTAACATATTTAGTAATCTTTTTATCGACATTACAATATACATACCAATAAAGAAAAAAAATAGCTTAAATAAAAACATTTTTATGTATTAATAGATTTTGTATATATTGATTATACGTCTATTATCGTAATAAATTTTTATTTTGTATAAATTATATATTTAAGCAATTAATTCAAAAATGCAATATTTTATTAAATTAAAATAATTTTAATAAATTATAAAAAATATATATGATTGATGTTAATTGTCGATAGGGTCAAACTAAATATATATATTACAATTGTACTGGTTTTAGGGTGATAAAAAGAAAAATGTGATAATTTTTATATTCTCATTTAATTTTGATTAAATATATTTAACAGTCGACATTTATAATAATATTTATTGTTGTTAGCCATATAGTTAATGATACTTATTATTAAGCACACATTATACTTGATAGAACGTAAGTATCATAAACCATTTAGTCAAAACTATCTGAAGTTTCAACCTGTCAATTCCTAACTAATGACTAGTATATCTACACAATACTTAACTTATGGATTAATAATTATACAATAATTACTTACAAAATATTTGGTAACAATGAGATAATACATACTATACGAAAATACTTATTTAAACATGCCCATTTAGTCATGATACTGGCAATTCTTTTCTTTTTTTACAAATATTACATCAGTCTTAATGATAAACAATAAATTGTTTATTATCATATTTATAGTACATAATTTACATTATACTCAAGGCTTTAATTTACATCAATTACAATATACATTTTAGTAACAGTCTCTTCAAATACATTTTTAACTACTAAGGAACAAATTAGTTGTTTTACATTTTGGCCAAATAATCTGACTCAACACTTTTGTAAAATTATCACGTATCAATAAGGCATGGCCAACTTAAAAAGCAGCCAACACATGTGCTTGGAATGTGAAGTTCCATTAAAATATCTTTAAAGATAAAAATAGTGTCTTATCATCTGTGAGCTGAATGGGTTTGAGGCAAGCCCTCGTGTACAGATGACCGTGGTTGTAAGTAACCCTGCTCATCAAGCATTGAAGGGGAGTGGGATACAGTATGTTTACGAATCGTATTTGGTGGTCTAGGCCGACCGCCGTATGGTTGTTCATAATTTTGAGTGTCTATTGAAATATAACTGTGGTGAAGATTTTCACCATCTTGAATCTGACTCGTCAAAGTTGTATTTGTTAACATTGACGTGTCATCTTCTATATTAATACCAACATTTGCAGTGGTTGGTGTTTGTGGCGGTATGGCATCGTATTTATACCAATGCTCAGGGGCAGTGGGAGATGCTGTATATCTAGAGGGATGCCGCCTTGCATTTGGACAAACGCCATGATTGTAATTTATTGTGTCTTTATTCCATTGTAAGTTGGAAATATCTGGCATAACAAACCTTATTTTTTCCCAAAACTTCTTTTCACCCCATAATAGGACATTGCATGATTTTAAATAATTTTGAAAATCTATGTCTAAATTTAGTGCACTTACGTCAGTTGTTAAAATGAAAACAACTCTGTGTCGTCGTATTGAAGGGTGAATAGATGTTATAATATGTTTCATCGCATCTTTGAATGAAAGTTTTGACCATTCATTTTGTAAGAAATTAAATGATACAAATATTAAAATTCTTTTGGAAGATTCAGCAGCATTAGTTATTTGGTCTGTTAAGTAATTTTCTGGTGCTAGTTGTAAATCTCTATAATGAAAACACATTGTGTAACCGGAATGTTCCATTTCAGGGGCTACTACTTTAGATACAAAGTCATCATCTAACAGACTATACACAGCATATCCATCATATAACCTATCTCGATCAAGCTCACTTTCTTGAATAGATGCACTTTTAAATAATCTAACACCATATTTAGAATGAGCCCAAAGGCGTACATTTTGTCTAAATGAGAATGCTAAGGCACCAAACAACAGAATTAGAATTACACTAATTAAAACTACAGCTAAAAGTGGCACAAAATTTAGTTTTATAGTGCTCACTTCATCATATTGGTACGGTTGATTCTCAGTAGGAATTGTATTGTCTGTCACGGTAGAATCACGACACTTATCTATAACGTCAAACACAGTTAGGTTAGAAATAAGTCCACTTTCGTCAGCACAGAACATTTCATCTGGATCTTCATAGTGTTTTTTAAACCAATTTTGTAACAATAGCACGTTATCACATGTACACGTAAATATATTTCCTTCAACATTGATGCTCTCGAGGTGTATAATGTGGGCTAATTTTTTGTCAAGATCAATAACCTTGTTACCTTGTAAATGAATAATTCTTAAAAAATTCAAGTGCTCAAAGGTTTTGTTTCCAACACTTATTAGGAGGTTATCATTCAAATATAACTCTCTTAAATGCCTTGTTTGTGAAAATTCACCACCATATAGCTCAGTTATGTGATTATTTTCAAGATGGAGAACATTTAATGCATGAAGGCCATTGAATGTGTCATTATCAATAGTCTCTATTTTACTATTATTTAAATAGAGCTTATGCAATTTCTTTTTACCAATAAATAAATGACTGCCAAGAGAACCGAATTCATTACCATCAAGATATAATTCAGTTGCATCCATGGGTATTTTTTCAGGTATATCAGTATACCCAACGTTAGAACAATCAATCACATTTGAATTCCAATTACTGTCATGAAAGCAAGAACAACCTTCTGGGCATGTCATTTTGCAATCGCATGCTTCGAAATCGCAACAAAAACAGCTAGATGAACAATGAGTTTCATATGAGCATAGAAACTGTGACTCTGGAACATCCATTAAATTAGATTTACCACCATATTTGTTGTTTACAACTTCGCATGTTACAGACTCTAAATCTACAAATCTAGGATATTGTCTCATGTGATTCCATAAATTAATTTTCTGTAACCAAATCATATGACAATTACAAATGAAAGGATTATTACCAATAAAGAATGTTGGCAAAAGTCTACTTTTTGGTATATGAGGCAAAGTAAATGCTGATAGTTCAACAGTTCTCAGCTTATTATCTGTCACGACAACTTTTTCTAACTTCCTTTTTTGTAAGAATGTACCTGGATGAATCGTGTGAATCTTGTTGTTATTTAAGAAAAGTATTTCAATAGATTCGGGTATCGACCTTTCATCGATATTTTCAATCGCATTGTAGCTTACGTCAAGCATTCGGATGTTTTGTTGTGCATTGTGTTCGTTTTCTAATTTAGTGATATTATTGCTATGAATATCCAACCATTCAAGATTTTCTGGCATATAACTAAAATCAAAGTAGATTAGTTTATTGTCCGATATGTTGAGCCAGCCAAGGGTATTCAATTTGTTAAATACGCCTCGAATATCAGTCAGCTTATTTCCATCTAAACGAATGGCTTTTAATGTTGGATTTGATAAGAATGCATCTTGTTCGATTGTTTCTATTTTATTAGATGCTAAGTTAAGAACTTGTAGTGATGGTAAAGTACTGAAAGTATCCTTTGGTATACTTGAAATATAATTATCAACAAGACGTAATCCATAAAGTTCTTCTAAGCCCTCAAAAGATACATTATATATTTTTGTTATGTTATTTTTGCCAATGTCGAGGGTTTTCAAAAATCTAAGTCTCTTAATACCATCAGGAATCGTATTTAAATTATTACCATTTAGGCCTAGATCTTGTAAATAAGTGATATTTTCGAAGCAACGATCGTGAATTGTTGCGATTCGATTATTGTCCAAATAGAGTTGATTTAAAACAAACAAATTTGAAAAAATATTTTCATTGAGTGCCTTAATTTTGTTGTCTGATATTGACAACTGATGCAAATTTCTAAGCTCTGCAAAGGCGCCATTACTAATTATTTCAATAGCATTATTATCTAAATTTAAGACTTGCAAATTATTTAAATCTTGAAATGACTTTGGATCTAATCGAATTAATGAGTTATATGATAGATTTAAAATAACTAATCTAATTAACCCAGCAAATGTGTCACGGTTGACCCAGTCATTAGTAAGTCGATTTCTAGATAAATCCAATTTTTCTAGTTGATCTAGTCCTTCTAATAATCCTGGAGCCAAAACAGACAATGAGTTGTTCGCTAACGAGATTTCCTTTATAACTCTCGACGATTGAAATAGTTCTGGAGGAACGGCGACTAACTTATTTCCCGATAAGTTTAAGATTCTCAAAGAATTTAGTCCGACAAAGGCTCTGTCTCCTATTTCATTTATTAAGTTGTTTTGAATATTCAGCACTTCTAAGGATCTGAGGCTGGATAACCCATTATCAGGTAATCTTAAAATATTGTTATTAGATAAATCAAGCATCTTTAATCCAGTGTTGCATGATTTACCTGGTGCGATTGGTCCTTTACCCCAATCAGAAAAGCCGATATCGGATATATCTTGAATTCGATTGTTTGTTAGATTAAGTGATTCCAAACTGAAGAGTGGACAGAATACTTCAGAAGGTAGCATGTAAATATTGTTATCGCCTAAATCCAAAGTGCGTAGTTCCATCAAACCACGAAAACTTTCAGCATGAAACTCCATGGTCATTGCAGGCCAATCTGTGTTATATGAGCGCAAGGTCAAACTAGTTAAATCACGAAGTGGAGATAAAACAGTGGCCGGTACATAGCGAATTTTGCAGTATTCAATGCGCAGGTCCTCTAGTTTTCTCAGCTGTCCCAAAAAACTGCCTGTATTCATGTGCAATGAACTCTCGAAGAAAAGTAAGTCTGTACATGTCAATTTCAACTTGTTGATGTTATACGCCTGCGCAGTGGTAATATTTTTAAACAAAAAGTCAGCGGAACCTATGGTTTTGATGTTACACGTGAGAAAGTTAGATTCACTCAACTTTGCATCCGAATAGTCCCACTGACAGCCGTTGGGGGCGGGCGGTGCGGAACGTGCGCGCGCACCGACCACTACAAGCAAACACATCCAAACTTTTAACAAAATCATTTCACTTAAGTTTCTGGTCATATTGTCACAATAAAATAGTTCATTTGTCCTTTATTTGTCACTGATAGTCTATATTTAAACTTTAAATTACTTTGTAGTCAATATTGTAAAGTTTATTTATTGTATAAACTACGATTTATAGCGCATGTAAACAGAGAATGCGAGATCGCGGTAAAACTTTTGACGCAGCCATGCTCCCCTGCGGTCGGGCGGTAACTGACCTACGTAAGTTTGAACGAACGAAAGCCGCATGGGTGTCGGGTGAGAAGTGTGGGGAGTAGGGGGACGGGGTGGATCACAACGACGGGTGAGTCCCGCTCTGCATCGACATTACAACAGATGGCACGCGTGTTTTTTGAATACTCAAAAATATTGTGTGTTACATGCAAGACTTGGGCCTGCACAGTTATGGTTGCATCTCCTCGAATTTCATCTCAAGGGAGGTCGCAGTACGAGTATAATAGTAGCTTTCATTGACGCATTGATTTTTGTTACATTTAAAAAATCTTTTTTCTCAAAGATATTCTTAATACATTATTATTGATTTGTCTTATCGCATTAATAATAATAACATTAAAAAAAAACAAAAAAAAAAAATTATTACCTATATTAAAATAGATATTGTAAAAATTAACGGAAATAGCACGTATTTTCTACGCTACGCAAACTATGTTTAAGAATGATGAAAGGGGAGGACATTTTATATAAACGCAAAAATGATTGACAGCTTCAAGTAAATCGAAACTCAATACTGACAACATTGTATTATTTAAAATTCTTTTGATTTATTTAACCTAAGTGATTTAGGCAGATGCTCGACATTGTTACAACATTGAATGACTTGGTTATTTTAAAGCCATACCCTGATTTATTCACCGCTTTAGTCAATTGTATCTATAGGAGAATATCACTATTTATACAAATAACTTTCAAATAATACTATTCAATATATAAATATAAGATCGTAATATATATCTAATTTTGCAACTTGTTATGATACATATAGTTTATATTGTTGTCCTTAAATGTTTTATTGTAAAGCTGTCTTGTACAGCTAGTAAATAAATAAATACATATGTATATGTGATTTACCCAAATATATATTTGAAAAATAAAGTGTTTGTTTTTTTAGGTTTGTTTTCTAAATTTATTTAGTATACGATACTGGCTTAATATATCGATAAGTTAAAACATTTTTTTTTTATATTATACGTATAATAGACAGTGTAACATCCCTTTGAAGTTTTATGAAAAGAATCTAAGAACATAGGCACATATTTTTGGGCCTAGTGATACATTTTAGTACGCTTCGAGTTTCAAACATTGATTGCATTATTCAATGTTTAATTTAGTGTAAGAAACAAAATATACTGTATCTACAAAATACACAATATATAGGTAATATACAAGAATATCTTCACTAGGCATATTATAACTTTAAAATATATTAGAGCCATATATCTATTTCATTCTGTAAGGATAAAAAAGAATTTAATGGAACTAGTTAGTCATAAAAACACGTCCATTGAAGAGGGCCATCGTGCGTCACCGCGAAGACTAATCGCGGGCCATCGGATGCCCAAACACGTGCGTGTCGAATCAAGTCTACCGTGGGAGACAGTTACAGACCTTTACAACAAACATCTCGAAATGATCACTCAGATTTTAAAATAATTCTAAATTCGAACCACAAATTAAATATAAACATAAAAAAGGGTTACTACGCTGTCTCTACGATTGCATTGGGTTATGACCTCACAAAATCTATAATATCTATTGAAATAAGTGAAACATAACATAAAACATTGTAATGAGTAGTAAATAATCAGGGTGTGATATAAGTTATGGGCTTTTATTATTCGAGATAAATGGCTTCACTTACATTTGGATTGATTGCGTCTTATGTTTTATTTCAATGTTTAAAAATAATTTATTTTATTTTAGTTTTTGTGAGATGGTAGGTAGAAGTATAGTTGAGTTATTTGTTTCGATAATCAAATATACATAATACAAGAATAGTTAAAATTTAATTTATTTTACGAGGACGAATTTTCTGTAAATTAAATGTGATGTTGAAAGAAACGACAAAAATCAGAATGAGTAAGCCTCTACACCAAGACTCAATTACAAAATGTTTCTATTTGTGTGACTAAAATTGCAACCTGTCATTTCATTTAAGAGAAGAAATGAGCACATATTTTCTCTCATTAGGATAATACTTCACAGTAAACGTTAACTAAAAGCTAAGCTATTCTGTCTGGCCTTCATTTACTACTTTATCTATTACACCTAAGGTCACAAAATTTATTTGTTACAGTTGTCATACTGATCTTTTAAAACAAGTCATTCTAAGAAAAAAGGTCTTTAAAATCAAGGTCACACGTCTCACTGGCCTGACTATTGATATTCTCAGTCAATATTGAGAGTCAATATCTCACGTGCCTATAAGGTCCAATATTTACCAGCTAACATCAACCACAATATTACCACTTATCTCGTAACAAGGCGACTCCGAAAACATCTTATAGCGATCTTCCCTTAGGAACGTTATATAACAACTATTTGAGTATATTGACATTGTTCGATATCTCTGGACTAAGTTCAACACGACTTTTATGTGAAATAATGGCTCTGTCTGAACTATTTATGGTTGTTTTCATTACACACGTAAGTGAGACGTTTTATACGTGAACTGGTTTAATTAAGAACGCATCTGTATGAATTTTCATTATATTATAATATATATAGTTAATATAATATATAACATAAAATATAATATAATATATAAATAGTTGTATAGCACAGTTTAAAACTCTTTACTACTAGTCTCCCAATAAATATAAACAGGTAATGTGTTACGAATTGTAATTATTCAACAACCAAGGTGTTGGACCACTAGATATTTATTACACTGTAGTTGTATAAATTGTTTTAAATTGAAAGATCATCAATATACTTTTTTGCACGTATGTAAAATCTCCAAATTACTCAGCGAGTTATGGAGAGGGCTATGCTTGGTGTTTCTTTGTGTGATAAAATCTGAAATGAGGATATCCGCAAAAGAAGCAAAGTAACCGACATAGCCCGAAGGATAAGCAAGCTGAAATGGCTGTTCAATGTTGACAACTGACGGGGAAAAAGAATAAAAAAGGAAAAGAAAAATTCAGATTAGGTTGAACCATTAGATGGAGTGACAACCGCATTGTGATCAAATGCATTTTAGAGAATCAGTAGATGCAGGTAGCTCAGGCCCGTTCCTTACGGCAGTCTACGGGGAAGCCTATGTTTAGTAGAGGACAGATAATGGCTGATATGATGATGATATTCATGTACTTATTAACAAAATTAAATGTATTAAAAATAACATTTATGTCAATACCAGATAAAACAAAGTATAAAAAACACTACTCATTGTTAAAAAACCAGCCTAGTGAAGTAATTTCTATGTAATTAATATTTTTTGACGTTTCGATCACTGTTTCATTATCCGAAGCGAACTCTGTAGTCAACCTTAAACAAAATATTGATAAATTATTCGGTACGGGAAAAGTTGTTTTGTACAGTTTCGCAGACTATGCAGGAGTAGTCTATTAAAAAATCGATATTACTCGTATTAAAGACAACGCCCTAGTACTGAGTATTGCATTATTGATGATCATTGACCCGATTATAAAGCTTAATGACTTGATAGATTAGTGGACAACGGAAGTGAGCCAATCACAATAGATAAATTACGTTATAAACATAATATAACAAATACGACAATAGTAAAGAATAAAGAGCTAAATAACATTAAAACGGAAGCTTTAAAAATAATTGAACCACGTGAGACTGAGAAGATAACAATGGGATGCCGAAGCAAAATTGTAACCGAAACTGACGACAACATTAAAAACACCTTCTATTAGCTATAACCAAAAGTCCTTTACGGCAATTATACTTTTGTACTCAGTGAATATGAAAAAGGGCGAGGAGAAGATAAAAACCCCGGTCTGTAGAGAGAAATTAACAATATAACTTATACGACCAGTTTCTTGAAAATGCAACAAAAAAATTCAAAGCTAGAATATGCAATAAAATGTCAGGACCGTCTTGGGAAGACAAAAGACGTCTACCGCAATTACAAAATTGCCCTCAAAAAAATTGGTTGAGACAATAGTTTTGACTCAAAAGTGCTGATGTTTCACGGGTGTCAACACCACAACTAAATGAATATAGTAATGCTTAAATTTATTACAATATTGTGTATTATTTGACATCATATTTTGTTTTTTAAAAGAATATAGAAAGAATCAAACTTATACTAGACAATTTTGTGTTAATAAACAAACTTCTAGTTTGTATTAAATATGAAGTCTAGACTTGAAAGATAATGTGAAAGCTGAATTCGCGCACTAAATTGTAGTAATATTAATTTAGGTTTGATCACATTTTTAATAATACTTACATATTAAATCAAAAGAAAATCTAAGCTTTATTTTAACAAAACTCATATTACACAATATTTTGTGTCATACAGTGAAGATATCGAAGATTGCATTATAAAAACTAGTATTTTTGAACAAGTAGATATTATTCTTTTTCTAGGTATACAGACAAATAGAGTAAATTTGATGCTGCGGGTGCGTAATTATAAATATATTGCTTGGTATTCTCTAATTAGAGAGACTCATTCCTTACGCATTATACCTATCTATTTATTTTATAACATATTTTATTGTAAATTTAAGATTTTTATATATTAAAAAAATCTACTCTATTCCAGTATTCTTTAACAAATCATTTTACCATATAAACATATCTCACATAAATTAAAGTAATATTATTATAATTCTGGAATATTATTTCTTATCATCCAGTAATGTAGAAGTTACTTTCTTCTGTTCGTCGGGTAACATTTTTAGGTATCATTGCTCGCAATTTAATCAAAATTCATGGTTGTGTTTTAAAAGCGTGATTGTTATTTGTAAAGTGAGACATCGATGTTACAGGTACGTTGAACGTTAAAGGCTTTACAGATAATCTGGGCGAAATATTGCTTGCGCCCCGATAGAGGTGGTCGCCACAGGGATGAAGGAACAGAATGCTATTGTGTTAAAAAACAAAATTTGTAAACAAGTATTTTTAGAATTGGTACTAGAGAATTGTGAAAGATAAGCATAAAAAATGAAATACGGATCTTTTTAGTGCTTGTGTGCGTGCTTAGAGGCTGCTTTGCTGCCAAGATTAA